CAGGACATTGCAGACACACTGGATAACGGAGGAAGGTTAGACGCGATTATAATAGATTTTTCGAAGGCCTTCGATTTAGTTCCTCACGATCGGCTGCTTATGAAAATCGCGGCATCGGGCGTGGACTCGAGGATAGTCGTATGGGTAAGGGAATTCCTTTTAGGCCGAACGCAGAGAGTTAGAGTAGGAGGGCAATTATCAGAGGAAGTCAGAGTAACGTCAGGTGTACCGCAAGGGAGTTTATTGGGTCCACTTTTGTTCCTCGCGTACGTAAATGATATTTGGAGGAACATTGAATCGACTATTAGACTTTTTGCAGAGACAGAAGACTGTATAATATATAGTAAAATTATAAATAGTAAAGATATAGAAAAGATGCAGATGAATTTAAACAGTCTGGGGGAGTGGGCGGTTGAAAATGCTATGAAAATCAACCCAAGTAAAAGTAAAGCAGTTAGTTTCACGAGAAGTCGGGTGAAGGAACCATTAAACTATTTGTTACGGGACCAAATAATTCCGGAAGTGAGCAGTTGTAAATACTTGGGAATACTCTTAAGCAGCGATTTAAGCTGGGCTGATCAAGTAAATTATACGGTGAAGAAAGCCTGGAAGGCACTTCATTTTACAATTCGTGTTCTCAAAAAGGGAAATGGTAACACTAAAAGTCTAGCCTACACATCACTAGTGCGTCCGATTCTGGAATATGGGGCGGAGTGCTGGGATCCTTACAGAGAGGGGCAGATAAATGCGTTAGAACGGGTGCAAAAGAAAGCATGTAAATTTGCATATCACAGGAGCGATTCGAACTGGGAAACCCTGGCACAGCGTAGAAAGATAGCACGTATATGTGCTCTCTTCAAGGCGTGTACGGGAGAACGTGCATGGAAGACAAAGGCCATACTACCTGAGCAGGGTCGATTATATTCGGAAAATTAGGAGAGAAAGTAAAGAACAGATATCGGAAAATATTCCTTTGTAAATAGGACCATCCAACTCTGGAACCAGCTACCTGCGGATGTTTTA